AAAATTGTCTTCCCCCCCCCCCCCCCCCCCCCCGGTGATTAAATATGTGCATGTGGATTTGGAAGAGAAGATAAGCAGCAGCGTTGGAGGGGTGTGCACACATGAATTTTCCATAGGGCATTTGGGGACCCACCTTGAGTCTAGCCATGCTGGGCTGTTCCAGCTCTCCACATGCCAACACCGATGTCTCCCCCACTCCCACTCCCCAAACCTCACTGCCCAGCCAGCTCCAAGCACCCGAGGGACCCCATCACTTGCCCTGGCTCTCACAGCCAGGGGACTTGCAGGGGCTGGAGAGGACCCAGGTGCCAGTCCTCAGTGTGCTCCCCCATCCTGTTCTGTCTCCCCAGGAGACTGAGGATGCGAGAACCCCCCAGGAAGGTCCTGCTCTCCAGGCAATTGGCCAAGCATCACCTGGGGATGTCCTTGGGAGCTGCTGCCAGCTGGTGTGCGAATACGACAGACCCACTACAAGGGGACAAGCAGAGCAGGAGGGCAGCGACAAGCAGCAGCAGCCACAGCTCCGCATGGGATGGCGCAGAGATGCCACCCAGCATCACAGGAGATTTATGTGGCCACCAAGAGACATTACAGAGGGTTTCTCTAGGCCAGTGCAGCTGCTCCTCCTGCTCCCCAGAGTCCGACTGTCCCAGCTCTCCCACATCAGGGGGTCCCATCCCTGCCCTCCCAGCAGGAACATCACCATGCCAGGCACTGGGCAACATGAGACACTGATCGGGCCAGGCAGGTGTTCACGTGTAGCTCAAGTCATGCCTGGGCACCACGATACCTCCTCCAAACATGACATAAGCATCTGCAGAGCCAACATGGGCTCTCTCCTTGGACCTGTCCTCAACCCTGCCAGGTGACACTGGGGGAGCTGGCAGTGCTTGCCATGCTCTGCCTCAGTTTCCTTGCTCTGCAACAGAGATCAGCAACATTGGTGGTCATAAAGTCACCATTTGAGTGCGTTCTGACACTCCTTGTCCCTACCTCTACCAAAAAAGATGCTGGCCACATCCTGTCTGTCCATGGGCCCACAAGAACTGGGTGTGATGCTGTCAGGGCCCAACCTGCGGGCCAATGGAGCTGCTCCCTTACCTGCATGTGGACATAGTCAGCCAACTTGCTCTGCACCTGGTCATGGGCCACCAGCCAGAAGGACAGCTTGGTGCCCAGCACCAGGACCCATTGAAGAGCCAAACACCCCGGGGTGCCCTGTCATAAAGGGCTGGGACACCCACAGAGAGCCCAGCTGATCCCCTGAGAGCCCATGGCACAGGCTCCTATGGTTATGTGGCAATTAGGAACGTATCTGCTAAGCAGCAGCCAAAATAAACCAGGACTTAACCAGTGGGGTGCTGCCTCGCCAACCCCCCAGCTCAGGGAGGAGCAGACCAGAGCCCCAGCTCCACCAGGCAGCCTGTGTGCAGCCATCCCCACACTGGCACAGGGGACTGCTTCTCCTGCTTGAAGCCGGCGTGGGGAGGAGAACACAGGCTGTCCTGGGGCCTGCAAGATGATCAGCACCAGCACCAGCCCCATCTCCCTCCCGCCCATGCTGATAAACCAGCCTCAGCACAGGCAACACATCCAGGGTGGAGAGGGCCAGGAGGACCACAGTGGCGCCACGAGCCCAGCCGCCACCTCCAGCCCTCCCACACTCAGCTCACTGCGAAGGGGTGGTGACAGGGGACCAAGCACCCAGGACAGAGCTGCATGGTCCCAGCCAAGTGCTCCTGCCAAGCAAACCTGGCCACTTCCCAGCCCTGGGCACCTGACACATGGGGTTGGGAGGCAGATGGACACACAGACAGAGACAGAGGCACAGGCAGAGGTGGAGACTGCTCCTTCCCGAACCGGCAGCTCTCAGTGGGGCGATGACGGAGAGCGCAGCAGGAGCCTGCCTGCTCCAGCTTCAGCATCCAAACCCAGCAGCACAAGGAGCATGTGTGCCAGGGAGAGGCTGCAGCCACACAGACACACAAAGAGGACCTCGGCTGGGAGCCTCTCCATTGCTCTCCTTCCCTTCCATGCCAGGCTGGCAGGCTGTGAAAGCACGGTCTCCACGGCTGGGCTGCCAGGGTGACTGAGCATCTGGGAGAAAGGGGGGAGCGGGTCCCACACCCGGAGGGACAGGGAGCTTCAGCGCATACACGGGTGTGCTCAGCGGCAAGCACAAAGACTGAGTTGTTGAGTGCCGCTGCCCTATGCCAGCGTTTGGCTGGAGCAGGGGGAGCCAAGTGAGGCTGGGAGCCAAGCACTGGGTGGGCACTGTGGGGCAGCCAGCTCTCACAGGCAGTCCTCGTAGGGTTGGCTCGGAGGTCCCTCCACCGTGGCAGGAGCAGCCCCTCTGGGAAGAGACCTGCCTGTCCCAGCATCTCAAGCCCTGCAACAAGTGGAGGGGATGGGGTTCACCACACTAGGCACAGCCAGTATCCCCATGTCAGGGCTGCATCCACCAGCAGACACCACCCAGCTCCCACTGTGCACCAAAGGGAGGCTGTTTCCTTGCACAGGAAGGCACAATTTGGGTCACATGAACTGCAGGTTCACATCCTCATGTCCCCCTGCCCCCTCACCCGACTGCCTCAGTTTCCCGCCTCCCAGCCCATCACTATGGCAACCCCAAAGGGCTCCAGAGCATCCTTTGGTCCACAGCACCTTGCCAAATCTGTGGCAACACACTCCCATAGCCCTTCTGCCCACAGTGAGAGCCATGACATCCCCCCCCCCCAAACTGCCTGCACCCACAGCCAGGCACACGCCAAGCTCCCCCCAGCCCGCACCACCCTGCTGAGTCACAGCCACCCCTGCAGCAGGGCAGCCATCCCACCCGGAACAGTCCAGCAGGAGAGGATGGACATAGGGGCAGAGGGGATTCCAGCCCCCACTCAGGCCTGTAACCCAGCACCATCCACCTCAAATGGGGGCTGTCTCAGCTCCCCAGGGAGGCCAAGCACACACCCACTCACCAACATTTCTCAGCACTGGCAGGGTGTTGCAGGGCAGCTGCTCCAGATTGGGGGTGCCGGTGATGCCCCAGCTGCAGCAGCCTTTTGCTGCCTTTTATAACCTTGCAACTGCAGATGGGCAGAGCCTGCCCCGACTGCAGCAGGGAGCTCCCATCCCTCCAAGACCACTCTGGGAGGGAGGGTGGCTGCCTGCAGACCCTATGCAAGGAGCCATTCCTCTCCCCTCCCAAGGCTGGAGCTGAGGAGGCTGCCCAGCCAGGCAGGGCTGGTTTCCCAGGGAGCTGAGCCAGAGAGCCAGGAAGCAGCAGGTGGAAGAGCTCCATGGCATTTTCCCTCTCTGTGCCAGGCCCTAGAGGCTCAGAGCCACTTGCTCTTGTCCACCCTGTCCCACCTCCAGAGGGGCAAGGCTGCCCGCTGCAATGCTGGCAGCTCCGGCACCAGGTAAGGGGCTGGGGCACTGCCTCCCGCCTGCCTGTGGACACCTCTGCCAGTGTGGGCTGTTAGAGGTTGGAGCTGGCAGACCCCGACCAGCCATGCAGCCCAGCTGCAGTGGATGTGCCTGCCAACACAAGCAGGCTGGGCAAGCCCAGGCAGTGCCTGGCTCCACTCCCCACATTGCCCGTATTCATCCTTCTCCCATCCCCACTCCCTGCATCACCTCTGTTCACTCTGCTCCCATTCCTGCATCACCCCGCTCCTCACATCGCCCACATTTGTCCCATTTCCCCTCCCTACATGACCTTGCATTCACCCCACTCCCATGCCCACATTGCCTGTGTTTGCCCCCCTCCCATCCCCACATCACCTGCGTTCGCATGGCTCCCATCCCCACTCCCCCCATTACCCCCGCCCTGCTCCCTGCATCACCTGCATTTGCCCTGCTCACGCTCCCTCCAGCCTCCCCAGCATCAGAGCTGCAGGAGCATCTGCCAGATGGCCCAGACTCACACATAGCCCATCTGCCAGCCTCGCTACACCCTCTGCTCCCCCC